TTGAGACAAAGTACTATATACTATAGATGATGTATTTGCCCACAGCTGGGTATGCTGTAGGAACTTAGTGACTGCTTGTTGAATTGTCTGACGAAAAATAAAACCAATATCTTTGTTAAAATAAAGCAGAGATCAGATCCAATGAGGGGATCTAGTTCAGAGTTTTAAAAACATAGATGCAGAAACATAGATGCAGAAAAAGCAGAGGACATGAGAAATCTCATCTTTGCATGATATTTTATAAGCACAAGGCAATCATCCACAGGAAAATGAATACATGTTGAAGGAATGCAATGATACTGTATCTGTAAATTATCAACCATGCACAGACTAGCAATGACATGATCTTGGTCACCTAGTTCAACTGTCTCTGTCTTTCCCCAAGTAGAGCAAGAACACAGATCCAAGGCAACACAACAAAAAGTGACAATGTCAATTACAGCAAAGATTTGGAATTCAGAGTTAGGCTTCCCACAAAATGTCTAGCTTGGCTCCTTATCTATAAAGGATCTTAGGGCTGCATGAGGCAATGTGTTAAAATGCTTACATTAAACTCAATAAAAAAAAATCAAGACTCTTGACACTAAAATCATATTCCAATAATTGATAGTATCCAAACTATAAAAACCCTGTTTCCATCATCATGAGGGAAGAGAAATTTTTTGATAATGCATATTTAACTCTGTAAGTAGCAAAAGGCTTTTTAAAAAAACTTTTCTGACCCAGCTGGTGTGGCTCAGTGGTTGAGCATCGACCTGTGAACCAGGAGGTCACAGTTCGATTCCCAGTCAGGGAACATGCCCAAGTTGTGGGCTCGATCCCCAGTAAAGGTGGTGCAGAAGGCAGCCGATCAGTGTTTCTCTCTCTCTCTCTATCCCTCTCTCTCCCTCTCTCACGGAAATCAATACAAACATATTAAAAAAAAGTTTCTGGATATAAATCTTACAACTTAATTTTTCACACCTCCTTACCTTCTTGAAGGTCTACTTTAGCATTAATCTAGCCTCTTTTTTTTAAAGATATCGATATAAACGTATCTTACCATCCTTTGCTATTTATAGCTATGTCCTCAGGTATCAGGTACCTGTCTCTGATCAACCAGTGATCCTAGACTGCCGTATTTTAATTCTTCTGCCTCTGAACTCCCCGCAGCTGTCACTTGACAGTATTTATTCTGACTTGTTGCCTCATTTTACACTGAGTCCATGTCAGGGGCTCCAAGGGGCTCCCACTAGAGCAGCGGTTCTCAACCTTGGCTGCACATTAGAATCACCTGGGAATCTTTTTAAAATCCTAATTTCTGGGCCTCATCCTCTGGAAATTCTCTTTCTTTGTTACTAATGTTGTGGCCTCATCCCATAACAAAGAAACAGAATTTCCGGAGGATGAGGCCCAGAAATCAGGATTTTAAAAAGATTCCCAGGTGATTCTAATGTGCAGCCAAGGTTGCAATAGAGGAAAGTGCATGGGGTCTGTGATTCCCCAGCTGCTCTGATAGGCTGGGGTTATTTCAAATTCAGCATAAAAATAAGTGGGGGTCCTTCCACATAAACTCAATGTCAGACACAATTGTTCTTACCTCCGTAACTGTAGAAAGTATTTCTTTCTCTCACTCCAATTACAGTTCCCAAGATATCTACTTGTCTTATTGGATGCCCATTGTAAAAAAATACACCTGAAATTAAAAAAAAAAAAGGGCCAAGTCCATATAATGTATGATTACATTTTCTGTTTCAATCACTGTTAACTGTGGGGATGAGGGTGGGGGTGGGTGGTTGTGTCAAAAATCTGTGGCATGCTGCTTGCTGAAATTCCAGACTTAAGAATCAGCCCTTGACAAACCACAAGCCCCAGGAAATCAGATGTCTTTTCCTCAAGGGTCATAAGGAGAAAGCCTGACTCCAAAGAAGCGTTTGCTACCCTTGGCAGGTGTGGCTCGGTTGGTTGGGCATTGACCTGTGCATCAAGAGGTCACCGGTTCAATTCTGGGTCAGGGCATATGCCAGATTGTGGGTTCGATCCCCAGTAGGGGGCATGAAGGAGGCAGCCGATTGATGTTTTGCTCTTACATCAATGTTTCTTCCTCTTCCTTCCCATCTCTCAAAAAAAAATAAATCAGTGAAAAAAATAAGGAAGCATGTACTAGTACAGAAAAAGGAAAACCAATGTTGCCCAACTGGATTTGGTTAATCTTCCTTCCACTTGTGAAAATTAAATGTACCTCCCTGTAGAACTCTCATAACGAGCCTGAAAACAGTCATTATATTACAGAACCAAACTTAGCACTGTATTATGAGGGACTGGAAAAGGAAAGAGGAAACCAGGAGAAAGGCTTGACTTTTTCACCGGTGCTTTTCAAGGAAACCAGTCATCATATCCATGAATTAGCAGTAGCTTTTGGTTTTTTTTGAGAATATAATTAAGTTACCAAACACTATGCTTTGGGGCCAACACATTACAACTCAAAAACTTAAAACTTATTTCTCTCTCTCTCTTCTTAATATATCTTATTGATTTTCATAGAGAGTTAGAAACATCATGAGAGAAAAACATCAGCTGCTTCCTGCACACCCCCTACTGGGGATAGAGCCTGACCAAGGTACATGCCCTTGACCAGAATCAAACCCAGGACCCTTTAGTCCGTAGGGTCTAATGCTCTACTTTTGGAGCCAAACCAGTTAGGGCTAAAATATATTTTTATTGATTTCAGAGAGAAAGGGAGAGGGAGAGATAGAAACATCAATGATGAGAGTCATTGCTTGGCTGCCTCCTGAATGCTCTCCACTGGGATGGAGCCTAGAACCTGGGCATGTGCCCTGACCGGGAATCAAACTATGAAATGCTGGTTCACAGATTGACACTCAAACACTGAGCCACACTGGTTAGGCTCAAAAACTTGTTGAAACTCTATTTTCAAACCTAAATGACAGATGCCAGTAGACAAGTTCCCTGCTGGAGACACCTGAGAGGATGAACCCTACCCACTAATACCCAGAGGCCTTTTCTGGAGTCAGGGACTGGACTCAGACAGAGGACTCCTGGCAGTGGTGAGTGCCTGCTTCCAACCCAGGTCCCAGTGCTGCCCTGGCTCCTGCAGAGCTGGCTTCATTCTGTGGCCCCTCAATATCCTTGCCTGAAGTTTCCGGCTTAAGCTACTTGCATTGCGTTCCTGTCACCTGCAGCTAAAGAATGCTAACTAAAATCCTCTCTTTTCTCTCCTCTGTGGATGAATTCTTTACTTTCAGAAGGCTATAAACTTTTAAATGGTGAGTTCCTTAAAAAAAAAGAAAAGAAAATTATAAACAGAGAATCAGTTACCACTTTGTGTTGGGGTCTGGCATTTGACCACCCCCGCAACCCTCAAGCCTGGTCAGAACTTTTCTTCTCCACATCCATGAGGGATCCAAGGCCTGAACCCTGACATCTTTCAGAAACCCCAAACTGGCCTCCACGAACAAATCTCTTGTTTTCCATGTGGATAAAGGGGTTGGGGGTGAGCTGCTCACAGCAGAGTTGCAGGGGATGGACAAGGAGATTCTGAGTCCCAGCTAGCCAGAAATTCTGGAAGAGTGAGATGTGGTTTGAAGAAAAGATGGCAAATTTAGCCAAAATTTACCCTAGAGTCAGACTTCAAAAGATACTTAGTAGATTGGAGATCTGCCCAGGGAAACCTTGGGGGCCATGAGCTGAAATGGCAGGGCCACACGTGGGAAAGAGCCTGGGTCAGTGTGTCATCCCTACCACAAACACTTGAATTGAACGAGGACAAACAGGCTCCACAGAAAAGCCATTAAGTTTCCAGAGCACAGCAGTTCCAACTGACTTCTCCTGAGTTCTTACCATTAAAATCCAGGTCTTAGTTTGTACCTTTGGTGACACTCAATCCTCTGCCACGGCAGTGCCTGCACTGACCAAATACGAAGGAAAGAGCCTATCTTAAATGACGCCCTACTCTCAAAAAAAAAAAGTGATTTAACTTTACACTTAAAATGCTTTGTTGCTCTAATTACTATTTCTTGAGGGCCCACTACATGCCAGGCACTGTCCTAAGCACTGGGAGTAAATACACTGAGTGGCCAGATTATTATGACCACCTGACATTTGTAGGCAAATTAGCTATAATTTTGCGCTCAAGTTGCTAGAGGGCCAGACCATTATAAATAGGGAAGCAGGTTGTTTACCACGACAGAAGTGATTTTTTTCTGAAGATATGGGTAAACACCACGATTTAACAGCCTTTTAATGTAGAAGATATATATATATATACACTGAGTGGCCAGATTATTATGACCACCTTCGTTGGGCCACCTTTTGCCTTTAATACTGTGGCCACTCAGTGTATGTGAACAAGGCAGATGATGCCCTTCCTTTCAGGGAGTTTATATTATTTTGACATAATTCAAAATTTGATGTGCATTCAAAACTAAACAAAATCCCACAAGAAATCAGGTTAATCCCCATTTTTACAAAGAAGCTTTACAGGTGAGTCACATCCAGGCCAGGTACGTGACACAGTTAGGAAAGGGTGCAAGGCCTAGGGATGCCTGGTCCAGTGAGCTTTTCCACCAAGAGAGGCCCAGGAAAAACAACTGGGCATTTTAAAATATGGAAGACGTCAAACCTGGGTAAAAACATTCATCATTACAAAGGTTACTCCTCCAAACACCTGTTTAAAAAAAAGATTTAGACAGTTTTTAAGTTGCACAGAAATGACCTCTTTTGAGGATCCAGGCCAGGTCATCTGCAAAGACTGCTGGGGGGAAGGCTTTCCTGCAAGCCCCTAAGCCCCAGGTTTCTCCAGTTTGGGGAGCGGGAGGGTTGCAGATGCAGCACAGGGCATCCACCAGGCGACCAATCACATACCTGGCACCTGGCATGACTCCTTCAAGTCCAGGATATCCCTGATGTAGAGTTTTGCAAAGGCTAGAAACACAGGATCCAAACCCCACAGGAGGGAAGGGGTCTCCTCTTCACACTGGCTGGATTCAGACTGCATCGGGAGGCTGGGCTGTGGCTTCCAGCCAATCCTGCAAGTCTCACATCAGTGAGTCGGGAATCTAGATTGGAGACACAAAATCGGGATACAAGGCGGTTAAAGGGGGTGGAATTGGCACGGCCCCTACGCTGATCGCGGGCGGCCATCCAGAACTCTGCAAGGGCTAAGCCAGGGGTCCGGGGCCTGCCACACTGCACGCCACGGGCCTGGCCTAAGAGGCGTTTCCCGCGTGAGGACATTTGAGTTCCGTATGACCCGCCCCTTGGAATCCCTTCTGCCCCACGGGAGTGTGTCTCCTTCCCCAAAAGGTAAACACCAACTTTTTACTTTGGGGAGATCGGTCCAGACAGGCGGAGGCAGAAGCCACTTTAATGGGCGGGGCCCAGGGAGGAATTGGCGCCCTCGTGGCCATACACTGGTGGGGCGCAGTGGGTGGGTCTGTCCGTCGGTCTGGTCCTGCCTGCAATTTCCGGTTTTCCGGATGTGACTGAGAAAAGAAGGCGAGCGGAAACCAAGAGTGGACTTGATCCGTAGCCGCAATCGCCGCGCCCGCGCCGCCGCCCTCAGATGTCCGGAGCGCGCAGGCACGGCCCTTGACACTCGACACACCAGTCGCCTCTGAAGTTCCGGCGGAGCCGACACCGCCCTCGGGGCGGGACCCAGC